TTGGGAGGCTGAGGCAGGAGAATCGCTTGAACCCAGGAGGCAGAAGTTGCAGTGAGTCAAGACTGCGCCATTGCATGCCAACCTGGGCAACACAGCAAGACTCCGTCACCAAAAAAACCAAAACTAAACAAAAAAGCCAAAAAAACAGATGCTGGCAAGTTTGTGGAGAAAAGGGAATGCTTTCACACCGCTGGTGGGAATGTAAATAAGTTTAGCCACTGTGGAAAGCACTGTGGTGATTTCTCAAAGAACTCAAAGCAGAATTACCATTCAACTTAGCAATCCCATTATTGAGTATATACCCAAAGAAATATAAATTGCTCTACCATAAAGACACAAGAATGCACATGTTCATCACAGCACTGTTTACAATAACAAACATACAGAATCAACCTAAATGCCCATCAGTGGTAGACTGGATAAAGAAAATGTGGTACATATATACTATGAAATGCTATGCAGCCATAAAAAGAATAAGATCATGTCCTTTGCAGCAACATGGATGGTGCTAAAGGCCATTATCCTAAGTAAACTAACACAGGAACAGAAAACCAAATACTATACATATTCTTACTTACAAATGTGAACTAAACATTGAGTACATATAGATACAAAGAAGGGAACAACAGATATCAGGGCCTACTTGAGGCTAGAGGATGGGAGTAGGGTGAGGATTAAAAAACTACCTCATCAGGTAGTATGCTTATTACCCGGGTGGTGAAATAATCTGTGCACCAAATTCCCATGACATACAATTTACCTGTATTACAAACCTGCACATGTACGTTTGAACCTAAAAAGTTGAAAACTTCATTTGTCTACAGTATGCTGCTAAACAAAAACTATACCAACTTCATACAACAATAACTATTTTACTCTAAAGATAATTTTAAATTATTTACATACCAGTTCATTTTATAAACAAAAAAATGTGAACAAGTTGTCTGGTTAACTATGTTGGAATACTGACATAGTTAACCAGACAATTTTCCTTTTTTGGCTACTGGCCAGTTCATGGTGATATTTTGATTAATTAAAACTTTGAGGTACACTTAATCATAAATCTAAAACTTTTAAAAATTATAAGTTTGTAGGTTATCCCAGAATAATTCTGATATGGCTACAATTGAAGTATGGCTTATTTAAAAGCAGAAGTACTTTACCAAGTTTTTTATTTTAGTACAGTTTTGCTTTTTAAGGATGTTTTTAAGGAATCAGCAAATATGTGAATTATCTCATCCTCTAAAAATTAGACCAAAAGTTTACATCCTTACATTACTGTTCTTAAACTTTACTTAATGTGTAAAGAAAACAGTTTAATGGGCTGGGCACAGTGGCTCATGCCTATAATCCAAGGACTTTGGGAGGCCAAGGTGGGCGGATCATTTGAGGTGAGGAGTTCGAGACCAGCCTGGCTAACATGGTAAAACCCTGTCTCTACTAAAAATACAAAAATTAGCTGAGCATGGTGGTGTGCGCCTGTAATCCCAGCTATTCAGGAGGCTGAGGTGGGAGAATCACTTGAACCTGGGAGGCAGAGGTTGCAGTGAGCCGAGATTGTGCCACTGCACTCCAGTCTGGGCAACAGAATGACACCCTGTCTCAAAAACAAAAAACAAAAAACAAGAGTTCAATGGTAAACAGGGATGCCATGATGTCCGAAGAATTCCTTGATGTTGTAATATATATAAAATTATAAACTTAACATGAAATTTTGAAGGAGAGTAAAACAGTATAACCTTTTGGGAGGGTAATTCTGGCAATATTCAAGATTTTAAATGTACAAATGCTACAACCTAGCAATTTCACTGCCAATTTTAAAATAGGGAAAAAGATCTAAAAAAAACATTTCTCCAATGAGAATATATAAATGACCACTAAAGGCCAGGTGCTGTGGCTCATGCCTGTAATCCTAGCACTTTGGGAGGCCGAGGCGGGTGGATGATGAGGTCAGGAGATCCAGACCATCCTGGCTAACATGGTGAAACCCCGTCTCTACTAAAAATACAAAAAAATTAGCTGGGCGTGGTGGCGGGCACCTGTAGTCCCAGCTACTCGGGAGGCTGAGGCAGGAGAATGGTGGGAACCCGGGAGGCGGAGCTTGCGGTGGGCTGAGATCATGCCACTGCACTCCAGCCTGGGGGAAAGAGAGAGACTCCATCTCAAAACAAAACAAAACAAAACAAAAAAACCACTAGCACATGAAAAGATGCTTAACATCTTCAGCCACTAGGAAATGCAAATTAATACCACAATGATGTATCACTTCACATCCACTAATATTGCTATAATTAAAAAAGGACAGATAATTACAAGTGTTGGTGAGGATGCAGAGAAATTGGAATTCTTATACATTGGTAGGAATGGACAATAATGAAGACACTTTGGAAAAGAGTCTGGTAGTTCCTCAAAAGGTTAAACAGAGTCACCATATCAGCAATTCCAACCCTAGGTATATACCCAAGAGAAATGCAAACAGTATATTCACACAAAAACTTGTATACAAATGTTTATAGAAGCATTATTCACAATAGCCAAAAAGTAAAACAATCCAAATTTCCATTAACTGATAACTGAATAAATAAAATCCATATAACTGATTAATATTTGGCCATAAAAAGAAAGTCACCGATAACAGGCTAAACATGGGTGAACCTTAAAAACACTACACTAAGTTAAAAAAAAAATTCAGTTACAAAAGGCCACATTGTATGATTCCATTGATATGAAGTGTCTAGAATCACCACCAAAAAATCCGTAAGCAGATTAGTGGCTGCCTAGGGCCAAGAGTATTACAGGGAAATGAGAGTCCACTGTGAAAGGATAAAATGTTTCTTTTTGGGATGATGAAAATGCTGTAAAATTGATTGTGGTGATGGTTGTATAACTCTGAATCTCTTAAAAACCACTGAATTGTACACTAAATGAGTGTAAACTGGATGGCATGTGAATTGTATCTTAATAAAGCCGTTACTAAAAAAGTACTTTTCAGACAGGTCGTTACATCAAAGAAAAAAAGGATTCAAATATCCCATGTAACCTTACCTTGGATACTTCTTCCTTCCCATTATTTTCTTTAATGAATACCTTTTCTAATTCAGGGCTTATTCCTTCTACATTGCAGGGCACACGTGAAACAGATGATTTTGGCACTGATATATTTGACAGTGGCATAGGAACTGACCTTGATCCAGTAGCCTATGAGATAAGATAAAGGTGGTATCAAATTATTTATGGTCAAAGCAATTAAGAACTAAGGAGTATGGTAAATATTAAAATTGAAACTCAATGAACAGAGTTATTTCTGACCTTCCAAATACAATAAAAATTCAGGTGCACATAGAGAAATTTAGGTTCTGTACTAAGAAAGTAAAATGAAAATTACATAGTCAAAATAATCATTTCAAATCCCTTTATGTAAGTATAAAGGCATAGCTGTATAATGTATATACTTGTTCAGTAGAATGGCAGAATCTTCTGCATTATTTATATTGTTTTCCTTTTTCTATTTCACGGGAACAGCATAGTTGAAGTCACGTAACTTAAATATATCACGTAAGTCCACTGCATAGCTCTGTATGAGTATGTTTAAAAGATGTTTGTTTTCTGTATAGTGACAATTACCTTCTAGTATCTTCCATTTCCATCTAAGAAAATCTGTTGGATTATTAAGTCATGTGGCAACAGTATTATGCTAAGCTCAACAACTCACTTAACAATTTAAAGGCTGTTTTCAAAAGTCCTTGGCAGGAGTTCTCAAAAATTAACTACCACTAATAGTTGTTAAGTAAAAAGTGTAAGACAAGACTTTTGATGCTTAAGGATTTATACAACAGGAAAGAATAAGAAAAATAAAGATTAATAAGGTAAAAATTAAAACAACAAATGACCTCTATCTTACACTGAATCAAGTTGACATACACGATCTGTGATAAGGTAGACTGCTAATCATGGGTTAGCACACTAATAATATTTCCCATACAATGATGTATTCTTGCCAACTGTGAGTTGCTGCTAATCAATGTCTTTTGTCTCTTATTGATGCATGAACTTTTTTCATATTGAAGTTTTCACTCTTTTTCATATATTACTATCAAGTATTTTTTCAAATACTGTTGACTCTTGAACAACATGGGTTTGACCTGTGCGGGTCGACTTACATACAGATTTTCTTCCACCTCTGCCACCCCGAGACAGCAAGACCAACCTCTCCTCTTTTTTCTCCTCCTCAGCCTACTCAACGTGAAGACAATGGGGAGGAAGACCTTTATGATGATTCATTTCCACTTAATGAACACTGAACATATTTTTTCTTTCTTATGATTTTATTAATGATCATTTCTTTTCCCTAGCTTACTTTATTAAAGAATATAGTATATAATACATGAAACATACAAAATATGTTAAGCGACTATTTTATGTTATCAGTAAGGCTTCTGTGCAGCAGTAGGCTGTTAGTAGGTTAAGTTTTTGGGAACCCAAAAGTTACAAACAAATTTTCAACTGCATGAAGGTCGATGCCCCAATCCCCATTGTTGTTGAAGGGTTAACTGTATTTTATCAAATAGGTAATCAACTTTAATCAAATATTTTTCTTTCTGGATTTTTATGGTTTTTCATATTTAAATACTTAACTTATCATGATTTATTTTTGTGTATGGTGTAAAGTCTTAGTATTCTTTTCCCCACACAGTAATCCAACTGCCCCGACATTTCTTTATGGATTCTGTATTTGATTTCCTGGAGCTACTATCTGATAATCCCTAGACAGAGTGCCACTTAATTGCTATAATTTTATATTATATTTTCATATCTTGTAGGAAAAGTCCTTTCAAATTTTCTTTTCTATTAATGGGCACTGGTTTTTCATTGACCTTTGAAGACAACTTTTCAAGTAATAAAAACAATTCATTTAAAATTTGCACTGGAACTCAAAACAATTTCAGGTAAATTGCTATTTGAAAAATACTGAATCTTCCCATCTATTAATGTGTTAAGACTTATATTTCATGTTCTCAATGATGTATGGTTTACATATTTCTTGTAAGTTTGATTCCAGGTATTTTATATTTTTATCATATTTTCAAACATGTTATTACTAATACAAGAGAAAACTGAATTTGTGTTATGTTTGTATTTTATCTAGTCATCTAGTTTCAGTTTTCCCCTTTTCATTATGGAAAATTCCAATCACAAACATAATTCAATAGAGAAACAAAATAAACCCCCTGGTACACATAATCCAACCTCAAAAATTATCAACATTTACCAATTTGTTTCATGTGAACAACGCTTTTTGGTTTTTAGAATACTTTAAAGTACATTCCAGACTTCATATTCCACCTACAAATATTTCAGTATGTATAGCAAAGGATAATAATTTTTAAGAATAATCACATGGCAAAAATTCAATGTAAAATTGAACAATTGTGTAAGTCTTCTTTGTTAAGTCAATGAGTCAACTGATCTAGTGTAAGTGCATTGGTATCCTAGAGAAAAACTGCTTGAAACACAAACAATATGTTAATTCTATCAGATTAAGAAGAAAAAGGAAGGCATAAAAGAATTTTCACTTCAAATGTCTCAGGCTTGCCAGTTTGTTTTACAGCTTTAATGAGGTATAATCGGCATACAATAAAATTCTCCCATTTTAAGTATGCAATTTGTTGAGCTTTGTTAGTATAGTCACATTTAGAACCTTCTATCATCCAAAAAGTTTCCCTAGGGCCTCTCTGTGGTCAATCCACATCCCTAAAACTTTGTTTTGATAATGTTGCCTTTTTGAGAATTTAACATAACAAATCATATAGTATGTAGCCTTTTGCTCCTGATTTCTTTCACTTAGCATGATGTTTTTGAGATTCAGTCATGTTATTCCGTATATCAGTAGTTCCTTCCATTCTACTGCCTAACAGTATTGCATGGATGCAGGGTTTATGAAGTGTTTATCCACTCATGACTTGATGTTTGTCTATTTCCATTTTTTTTCTTTTTTTTTTTATTATACTTTAAGTTCTAGGGTACATGTGCACAACATGCAGGTTTGTTACATATGTATACATGTGCCATGTTGGTATGCTGCACCCATTAACTCGTCATTTACATTAGGTATATCTCCTGATGCTATCCCTCCCCCATTCCCCCTCCCCACAATAGGACCCGGTGTGTGATGATCCCCTTCCTGCGTCCAAGTGATCTCATTGTTCAATTTCCACCTATGAGTGAGAACATGTGGTATTTGGTTTTCTGTTCTTGCGATAGTTTGCTGAGAATGATGGTTTCCAGCTGCATCCATGTCCCTACAAAGGACACGCACTCATCCTTTTTTATGGCTGCATAGTATTCTGTGGTGTATATGTGCCACATTTTCTTAATCCAGTCTGTCACTGATGGACATCTGGGTTGATTCCAAGTCTTTGCTATTGTGCAACAGTGCCGCAATAAACATACACGTACATGTGTCTTTATAGCAGCATGACTTATAATCCTTTGGGTATATCCCCAGTAATGGGATGGCTGGGTCAAACGGTATTTCTAGTTCTAGATCCTTGAGGAATCGCCACAGTGTCTTCCACAATGGTCGAACTAGCTTACAGTCCCACCAACAGTGTAACAGTGTTCCTATTTCTCCACATCCTCTGCAGCACCTGTTGTTTCCTGATTTTTTAATGATTGCCATTCTAACTGGTGTGAAATGGTATCTCATTGTGGTTTTGATTTGCATTTCTCTGATGG